CGCCTGGGCGGCTCGACGACGGCGACGGTGATGGTCGTGCACCGGCTGGGCTTACCCGAGCGGCAGTTTGTGGTGAAGGCCATCGCCCTCCGCGGTTTGGATGCACAGGGCCGTTTGCGGGCTCTGAAAGAAATTCAAATTCTGAAGAGCCTGCGACACGAGAGTATCATCGAGTATATCGAGAGCTGGTGGATTGGTGCGGGTCCCGATTCGGGGCGGCTTACGCTTGTGATGGAGTGTGCTGAGAATGGTGATTTGCGTGTGCCTGTGCAAGCCGCGGGTCAGAGCGGGAAGCACTTGGAGGAAGTCCTTGTCCTTAGCTGGCTTCAGCAGATGCTGAGGGGACTGGATCATGTCCACCAGAAGGAGATAATCCACAGGGATTTGAAAGCCATGAATGTCTTCTTGAAGGACACGTGGCGAACATGTAAGTTGGGAGACTTTGGAATTTCAACGGCACTGGAGAGCGGAAAGTCAGCCTCGGGTTGCGTGGGCACACCTGCCTACATGGCCCCGGAGCTCTTGTGGAATCAGCGCTACGCCTCTGCAGTAGACATGTGGGCAATCGGGGTGGTCCTGTATGAACTCATGGCTTTAAAGCTGCCATTCTGCGGTTCCAACGTCCTCGCTCTGGTGTACCAGATCGCCTTCAACACCTACGATCCCGAGCCTCTGTGCATGGTTGGCTATTCCACAGCCTTGATCGAGCTTGTTTCGCGGCTGCTGGACAAGGACCCTACGAAGCGACCTAGTGCCTCCCAGCTCCTGGGTGAGCCTGCTTTGTGGGAGACTTTTTCGATTGAGGCTGCTGGGACCATGGCGGCAGCGTCGTTCAATGCAAGCTTGTCATCCAACCTCTTCTCCGACACCTGCCAGGGTGACCTGTCAGAGGTGCACCATGCGTGCACGCCAGGAATCACCATGCCCTCCGCGATGCAGATGGTCTCGGGAACCGGTAGCGACTGGGGCGACGCCGTCGCCTTGCTGGCATCCATGGGCACTGATAGCATGACTGGTGCAATACCTGCAACTTTGGCAAGTGCAGAGTCACTGGGGAGTGTGGTGTCAAACGTCAAGCTGTGGGAGGAAATATTGAGGACAAGAGAGGAGAGTGATAATGTGTCACTTGATCGGTTCGAGGAACTGTTGAGGTCGATTGGTAGCTCCAGGCCTGATGTGACGCCGGACCAGCCGAAGTGTGACGATGAGCGAAACAGCCCGCCTCAGCGGCAGATTGGAGCCTGCGACGAAGCTGAGGAAAATCTGGCACGTGCGGCTCAGGACGTGGCCTTCGCTGCTTCCCTTCACAAGATGGCTGCCGAGATATCTCTAGAGGCACATGGATATCAGCCGCTTCGACGCCTGGGCGGCTCGACGACGGCGAC